GCTAGGCGTTCTCAGGCTTGATGTGAACACACGGTTTTATGAAATATTCTACTTGTCATTTTTCTCCCCTTGGACGGCTCCCTACCCGCGTTCACACCGCCTCCCTGGCTGGCTGCAAACCACAAAGAAGCCATGATGAGCGTAATTTGCACCAAACGCTATCTCACCCAAGAGGCTGTAGTTGATACGCTTTCTCGATTCACTCATTCCAGGGACTAAAACCCACACATTTGGGATGGGAGATAGGACGACAGGATGCAGGTTCTATCAACCTATTATCGGGGCAAAAAACAAAGAACCACCACCTGCTGACGTCGGCATTCACATGAGGGGTACAGAATCGAAGGGCACCCNATATATATATATATATATATATATATGTATATATAGTCATGGGACGTGGAGTACAGTGCGGGAGTGGAGTCAAGGGAATTGTAAGATATGTATGATATTGGGGGGAAATGGGACGGCGGATTTGGGGAGGAGGGTTGTCACTTCGAGGGGTAAAAAGTATAACTAGTGTGCTGTGCTGTACAGCTGAAACTAATTCAAAAAACTGTGTATTTCACAATAAATAAAATAATAATGACGATGATATTCAACACCCTGGGAATGGATTGCACCCAGATATATAGTTACAGCTGGCCCTTGAACAACGTGGGTGTGAGCTGTGCGGTTCCACTTACATGCGGATATTTTTATTTATTTATTTTCAATTGACTCTTGCCGTTTAATGGACCAAATTTCGAGCGTCCACAGGCAGCTGGGACTCTGCCTTCGATGAGGGTCCCATTAAGTTATCCTCGTATTTTCAACTGTGTGGGTGGCTGGCACCCTTAACCCCTGTGTTGTCTGAGGGTCAAGTGTACACCTCTTCTACCGATGGATAGCTAACCAGGCCAAGAAAAGGAACTTGCCAGATTGTAAACAACAGTTTCACACAACTGGTGATGAGCAACATAAGGTTATTCGGAGTTTGAAGAAAACGATACAAGCCTATAAAGCTTTGTTTTGCGTTAAACAGACAGTTACGGCTGCTGGAGGAACAGAAATTATTGAGACCATTAAGCCACTGCCATTGAAACAGGGCAGAGAGCTACAATGGAAAGCGTTAGCTTAATCTGAGGATTTTCTTCCTCAGATGAAAAACACACCCCTGTCGCTCCCTATGGTAAGGAATTTGGAAACCGGTAGTTTCACTGGGTTATATAATTTGGGTAAGCATTCTTGAAAGAACCTGCATCCCTTGAGGGTGGTTTGTTTTTTGGGTTTTTTGTTTTGCTTTTTTTTTTTTTTGCGGTTTATTTTGGTGTCGCTAAAAACCCTGTAATGTAATTATAGCCTTGTTGCTCAGCACTTCTCTGGCCTCACCCCTTATTAATCATGTGTTCCCCAGATGTCTGTGGACCGAAAATGGTCCATTATCATAAGTTAAAAATAAGAACAAAAGACAGGCTTGGCTCACNTTGAATAAATGTAGATTTTTGTACATGAATAAATGAATAAATGTAGATTGTTGGAGCAACAATTAATATAAGACCAGGTGTTATTTTCGGGGAAACATGGAAGAGCTTTTCACATTTGAGAAGTGTTTCATCACCTCTCATAGCTAGAAGGAAACATTGTCTTTTCTTTTAGGACACTGGATTTAATGTTTCATGGTGAACTTGATTGCAACAAAATGTGACAAAGGGATGACATTGTGCAAAGAGTTGCAGATGAGACATGGACATAGTGTCATGCATGGATGGTATTTCTAGCAAAATAGCAAACCATTGCTAAGATATGCAAATGCTTCTTAAACAAACAAACAAGCAAAACAGGAAGTCACTATTGGCATGCTTTTAGGATGGTGTGATAAGCTCAGGTCCCACCCTCCTTCAGGACCCAACAGTCTCTTTCTCACCCTGACGGCTTACGTCTGTGAAGAGTCACCCATGAAAGCAAAACGCCAGCGCCATCCCGCACTCTCACTCGGAGCAGCCTTCCTCAGACGCATCAGCCAGCAGCGGTCATCTGCTCACCTCTGCCTACACAGCGGCTGCACAGCACTGTGCATGTAACTTTCCTAAATAACGCATTACTGTGTAACTACCTCCATCACTGTGATTGATGGACACGTCTCATCGGCAGCCGCTAAGCTACTCCGGGACCTACCGGGCCTTCGGCGGGAGGATGAAGCAATGGGTGAACCGGCGCGTGAAATGCAGCCTGGGACTCCATCTTTTAGAGACGCTGTGATCTATAAACCAAAATAAAAACAACTCTCTCCACGCAGGCTGTAACCTCACGAGAATACGATGGAAACACCTGGATTTAATGTACAGGAATGCAAGTATAGAGTCCCACGGGTCTAAAATAAGGCTGGACATAGAAGACGGCTGGGAGCGTGCAGCCTGGCAGGGCCGATGCCATTCATATTAAAGACACTGGTTTATTTATTTAACCCATGTGGACTATATCCCGCACTGGGGACACGACTGGAATGCAAAGAAAGGAAGAGACAATCAGCATCCTACTGCAAACAATAATATACACGGAGTCCCTTTAACATGGAGACGGAGCTGCCGTCCCCGAGGACCGGCCTGGCCCATCTGACACCTCCAACCTGCGGATGTTACAACAGGACACAGTCACCTTAGGATGGGGCCTTAGCAACACTGTGTCCCTAAGAACTATTTGCAAAGGTAACTAGAAAGCAGGTATTATGACTACAGGACGGATGACTCTGGGCTGAAAATTAAAAACATTGTTTAGACTCAGCGTCACTGTGTCACGTTATCTACACCAATAGCAACGCCTTCCTTCTGTGACGTCATTGCCCCCCTTCCCTTTCTTATAAACACCCCTGGCCTTTGTGGCCTCATCGGAACACCATCCGGGCTTCTGCCTGAATCAGGGCTTCCCGGAGAGCTACTCTCACGGATCTCCAATAAGCGCTGGGGGCCTCTCACTTTGAAAGTCCTTTTTAAAGGTAAGCGAACACGATGAAGGCCGCCCAGGCCACCGCTGAACAGAAATCGTTGTGTCATCACTTCCAGGTGTAAGAGACGGTCTCCAGATGTGCACGTGAAGCTGTTAACAAACGCATGAGGTTTCGCGGGCTGCGTGCTGCCAGCCATTGAGACAGATAACAGATTCTCTGTCCCCATCTCTGCCTCGGGGGCAGTGTGACCCACCTCCGGGTAGCTTGCAGACCTACCCACTCCTCGCTTTTTTTCGTTTCCAGCACTACGAAAGAGGGTGAGTGGTTAGCAGAGAGGAAAGATGGAAGAACAAGAAATCGGGCAGACCCTGCAGTCCCCCCGCCCGCCACCCGCCTCGACTGCTACAGGACCATTTCCTGAGCACCTTGTCCTCAAAAGGCTCTCCTTGTGTATGCATCACCACGCTTTTGTGCAAACGGATGCTGAAACCCTTTCACTAAATTGCATGGGGCTCCCTAGGTCTCCCGCGAGCGCCAGCCTCACCACGCAGCCACCGGTGGACCGTGAGCTTCGTCACGGTAAGACCCACACCCCCTGTTTATTTTTACCTCTGGCCCGCCGCCAGGGACACAGCGCACTCTCTATTTCTAAATCAATGAATGGATGGCAGTGCTCCACTCATTATCCTGTCACACCTTTGGGGGCGAACTCTGATTTCCTGCGTCCCTGGCCATCTGTGAAACATCCATATAAGAGAATCATGAGAGGACACAGGAAGCAATTTGTCACTTTAGGCTAGCAGCATCCGGTGGTCACATGCATCTCTATGTCTTGGGCATCTTGCCTTATTCAGGTGGTCCCCACTGTCAGGAACAACAGGGTTCCCCTCTTTACATGGTCCTCTCTCGTCATCCTCCCTTGTGGTACCTTTAGCCCACATCCACTGCCGATCGGGGAGGGCACGGTAACCCTTCGTGCTCCCATGTCCCTTGAGGCACCTCATCTACGTCTTTGAGAAATGGGACACATTTTATTATGATCTGGTATGTTGATATCTGATCATAGGTACATGTGTACAGTGTACCCACAGCAATGGGGGAGTCAGTATCTGGGTCACGTCAAATATCCCCAGTGACAAGCACAAGGCCTGACCCGTGACACTGGTGTCTTAGCTGACGCTGTGTCCAAATGAAGCATCAACTCAAATTGCTGCTGTAGGTTGAGGCCGGCCAAACAATGGCCTCCCCGAGATGTCCACGTCTTCCTCCCCCAGAAACGGTGAATGGTGAATACGTTACCTCCCGTGGCAAAAGGGACTTTGCAGATGCAATTAAGTGAAGGGTCTTGAGATGGGAAAACTACGTTGGGTTAACCGGGTGGGCCCATTTGTACAGACATCCCTAATTTATGGTAGTTCAACGTACAAGTTTTCGACGTGCAAAAGGGATCCGTATTCCGTAGAAACCGGCTAAGCTATCATGTTACGGAGGTTCAATGCATTTTCGACATACAGTGTTTTCAAATTATGATCGGCTTCTCCAGACGTAACCCTCTGGTTAAGTCGGAGAGCGTCTGTAGTCACTCGGGTCCTAAAAAGAAGGCGGAAGCGAGGCAGATGGGATTGTGGGAGCAGGGGTGAGAGGCAGAGCGGGATCTGAAGACACTGCTGGCTGTAAAGACGGAAGAAGGGGCCAGGAGCCAAGGGATGAAAGTGGCCTCAAAAAACCTGGGCAAGTCCAGGCCACGGGTTCTCCCCCGGAGCTCGCCTAAGGACCCAGTCCTGCTGTCCCCTGGATTTCAGACCAGTGAGACCCATTTCGGTCTTCTGGTCTCCAGAGCGATAACTTAATAAATCTGTGTTGTTTTCAGCCAGGAAATGTGCGTTTGTTTGTTACTGCAGCCATAGGTTACAGATCCGAGCCTCGCAGAGGGGTTCTTGTTTTACTCGGCCACCTGACATGGGGCTGTGTTTGCGAGTATGGGAAAGGCCCTCCTTCTCACGTTTTGACCTAGAATGGGTGCTTTTAAGTGCTGCGGGGACCACGCCAGAAATGGCCCCTCTGGTCACCGGACCTGTTCAATGGCTGGGACACAAGGAAGTCCTTCATATTGCAAAACGACAGGAGAACACTGCCAGAGCTCCAAGGTGAAGGAGCAGCGGACCCCGGGGGAGCTGGGAGGCCCGAGCTTATCCACACTGTCACCTTTATAGATGCTGTTGCTTCCTCCGTGCACTTCCCCTCTGGTGCTCACTTCTTCCACGTGTGCCCCTTGGTCGGAGGTGAAGTAGACGAGGGTGTCGTTCGCCAGGCGCAACTCCTCTAGCACCTTCAAGATCTGCCCTGAAGGGGAGAAAACACTCCGTGTGAGACCAGTCACATCTTTACACAAAAAGGGGAGGTGATATGCCCTCAAGGACGCGTCCGTGAGTTTCTTCAGGTAGGAGACAATGACCTTGGACACGGGACCTCTCTCCCTTGCTGATCCCAACAGAGGGTGTGATGTCACAAGGACTCCCTGTGGCAGGGAGCTTGGCCATGACAGCAGAAGCGATTCAGTCACAAGCGACATCTACTAGCACCATCCATCTGGACTGCTAGGCCTCAGGGAGGCCCGGTAAAGGATTCCACAAGAGTCAGGCCCATCCGTCACGAGCCACTTGGAGGAAGCTTCCAGAAGACGCAGGCCAGATGGTGGCCATCGCCAAATTGCGGCATGGTGCTGGGGTGGTACAGAAGCCCACTCGCTGTCCCTCTTGGCTGGGAAAAAAAAAACAAACCACTGATGTGCCCCTTGTACGAACCCCTCTAGCCACAGATACTTTGTAATGAACGACCTCTTTTGAATAATGACAGCGGACATCCAAGTCTAAACTCGCCCGTCATGAGTATCGAGACGCCTCTGACTTTCCTTTTTCTTGAACGCGCCTTCCTTCCCCAAAGTTCACGCTGTATACGATGCCTAATTACAACACTTCAAACTAATAACAACATCAGCACCGGTTGGAATGATGACTACCACCTACTGAGCATAGTCTATGTGCTAAGGACGTTACCCCATGTTCTCTCGTTTTGACCACACTGAGCCCTATGAGTCAAGAGTTCTTTTTTTTTTTTTGGTCATCCATTTTACAGAGGACAGCAACCATACTCTGAAAAGATGCATGACCTCCTGAAGGTCACCCAGCTTGGAAGTGAGAGAGCCAGAAAGGAAGAGTGAAATCGGATTCCGAAACCGAGGCTCTCAAACCCTGTGTTGTCGCGTGGAGGGACTTGACGGGAATCGTAGAGGAGTAAAAAAATACATGAAAGGGGGGAAAAAAAGAGACACAGACTGAGCTGCCCGTGGAGGAAACGACATGGCTGCCGCCTCCTTCCCACTCATCCAGGAAGACGGAACGTGAGAAGGGGTCTAGACTAAACAAGGGCGGGTCAGCGGCCGGCGGGAGCTAATGTGCTTTTCTGTCTACTTCTACGTATGCCTAAAATTTTCCATGAGGGAAAAATACGAGCTAGTTGAAGACTGAAAAAGGGGATGAACGTGGACTGTCTGACTGGAAACCTATCACCAGCTCTCAAGCCAGAAGAAAATGATGGTCAAACTGGAGGTAGACAATTTGTCTTTTCCACACAGATCTATACATTCATGGTGCTGGTCTAATGGAATAAGTCGATAACTGAAGAACTTAATACGTTAATGCACACACAGCTACGCCGATCGGGATAGTGGCGTCTGACTCCATTGGCTGCAGTGTGACTGCTAAGAGCTTCGAAGCCTCCCCGCCCCTCTTCGCCTCCCACCTGTGCCCAAGCAGCGAATGAGGGAGCCTGAGAATTCGGTCCTTCTCTGTCCCTGGAGACGCAAACGGTGCAAGCCTCTGCCCGCATGCCACAATCTGCATCCACTTTCCAGCTCTGCCCACCAAGAAAGCAGAAGCAACCTCCTTTCCCATGTCTCTTACGCCGTGTGCAGACCAGCCTGGGAGCAACTCTGCTCTCCCCAGGAAGCCTCATCACGTGAGTCATCAACCTAGTCACAGCCACGTGGTGTGGGTGTGGCATCGTTAGTGTTGACACGGGACCCAAATCTGCGGCAGTGTTCACTGCATCCGTGTGGGCCAACCACAGTAACCGGAATTCTATGAGGACGAAAGACATTCTGAGTTATGGGTACATCCCATCCCGCAGGGAGGTCGTACCCCAAAGCAGACAGGCCCTCCGCCCCAGGGTTGTACCCTCATGTGCTTGGCCCAGAAAAGGGGACAAGGGATGTAGAGCCACCTCTCCGTGGAGGCAGCAGAGGAGCTTTCCGATGCAAAAGCAAGGGCTTGTTGTTTGTGGCAGCACATATTTTTGCTCTTTCATTGCAAATGCCACGGGCTGTAGTACATGCAATCCTTCTCAATTTGCTAACTCATAAAATAAACATGCCAAAAAGCCACACCATCTATATAAAGTCATACTGGGAGCCATTTTAGGGATTTGTCTCCCGTGATCAATCGGTATCCGGCAGCTATTTATCGTGGTGGTGTTGACGCAGCTAAGCAAACTTCACCTGTGTACTGGGGCTTCCAGTGATCTGACTCTGATAAAGATAGAAGCCCTGCCACTTGGAATATGGTAATTAGTTTAATGAGCTGAAACAGGAAGAAGCAACAAGGCTATGATAGGACCTTCCTTATATGCTGAAGGAAAAGTGCCCCCCTTGGGGCTCATATAAAAATTTCTAAGTAAAAATAACACAGACAAAGGCAGGTAGCAGGGTATGGATGGTTTTACGTCCCTGGGTTGTAGTTAATATTTTGCAAAAGGGCGTGGAAAGATGCACCTACACTGCCAACGAAATGCACCTTTCCTACATGTGTAAGTATGGTAACAAGAAATGGCATTTTAAAAAATGTGACTTCTGTGATAACGTCTGTGGATACAAAACCCTGCCCACAGAAAATTAGAGCAGGTTTACTGACGACTGCCCCAACCTTGGACGCCACCAGGATGTCCTCAGCAGGTGATGGATCTATAAACTGTGGTCCATCCGGACCACGGACTGTTGCTCAGCGTTAAAAAGACATGGATACCCAGTCACACATGGACTTGGTGGAACATGAAATGCATATCTAGAAGTGGACGAAAGCCAATCTGAAAAGGCTCCATGGTGTGTGGTCCCAACTCTGTGACACTCTGGAAAACGCAGAACTAGGGAGACAGTGAAACATCAGGGGTTGCCAGGGGTGACTGCGGAAGGAGGGTTGAGCAGGGGAAACCCAGAGGATTTTAGGGGCAGCGAAACGAGTCTGTGTGACACTGTCACGGTGGGTACCTGTCATTGTACATGTGTCTAAACCCACATAATGTGTAATTCAAACAGTGGGCCTTAAGACAAAGTATAGATTTTAGTTGCTACTCATGTATCAATGTGGGCTCATTAATTGCAACAATGTAGCGCACTGATACAAGATGTCATAAGGGAACTGGAGTGTGGGAGAAAGGCAACAGAGGAACAGTTTCTGGACTCTCTACTCAAATTTTCTGTAAACCTAAAACTGCTCCAAAAAATAGCCTACCAATAAACAAACAAACAAACAAACAAAGCTGTCTTTCAAATGCACTGTTGACTCCAGACTTCCTCATCCACGCATTCAACGTGCATCTAGGAAGCACCTACTCGCCGCGGGCTGTGAGGTAATAGCAGGGACACGACACAGTATCAGGACAGCGCTCCCCCCCAAAGCCTCCTGGTGACATGTTACTTTTGTTCAAGCCAGCTTCATTTATTATATACATTCCTTCTACTAAACATATATAGCATCCTTTTCCATTTTAACCCTCCTTCCTTGATATTTCCTGCACCTCCCTGTACTTCCATGGTAACATCTTAACCTTGGCCCCATCCGTTTTTCTTATTCATTGCCTAGAGTGCTAACTTTAATTGTCATTTTCATCCGAAGCATCACAAAAAGCCGGGGCTCAGATTCATACAAGTAAATCCAGCTGAAGCCATCATACAAGTGGTGGAATATTTGGTTCAATCTGTGGAGAAATTGCGAGGTTTCTCATTCCCTTTTAGTCCTATTCCCCCCACCCCCACCCCCTTAAACAACACACTCTGAATCCTATACCATTTAGGTCTGAAGGCAGACTCTCATTTGTAAAGCCCCGAGCCCATTAACCATTTAATTTTTCATAAGATTGATCCTCTAAAGGTCTCATGCATTTCTGTCCTAAAAATTCCGAACCGAAATCTCCCAAGGGAAACACACGGCTCTGGATTATTCTTGCTTTCAGAGCAACGCACTGCAAGTCGGAGGTCCGCAAATATTATTTTTCAGGGAGACTCGCAAGGTATAATGACACCAATTTATATAGGATGATAGTTTTGAATTACCGATGGCAGGAGGCAAGATAACTTAGAAATGAAATGCTTTATTTCCAAAGCCTTCTCGTATTGTTCCCCCGAATGAAACAAATACAGAAAATAAGCCATTTCAAGAGCAATTTGTTATTTAACTGGACACAACGAGCGCCAGCTTCTCAGAAAATGAGAACTTCCTGACCCGACGTGCGTACCCCTAAAGGAGAAACACTGGGAAATACGAAATTTGCCTCCTTGTTGCTGCAGTGTGGAGGGTGGGTCACAGAGAAGTCTACGTCTAAAGACGCCTTTCATCCCAGGTTGTCGTTCTGCAAACACATGTTAAGCCACTGCTGAGAGCAAGGGCTATGATACGCTACCCAGGGCAGGGAAGGGTCTTGCCTGACGGGGGCGCTATCACCTAGAACGGAGCTCAAACTCTGGCTTCCGCATGCTGAGTGATGACAGAAGGGTGGCTTCCATCCCCACGAATGACAGCCGGAGGAGAGAAAAGGGGCTCATGTTTTGTCACAATGTACAAGCAAGTGTGCCTGACAGAACCTTATGGCGGAGGGGTCACGGAACCAGCTTTTTTGAAGTTCTTTCCTAAAAGGATAAACCGTGCCCTGACAGCCCTGGGTGAGTCCACATCAACTCACCCAACACCCAACACCAGACCTTATCTGCTTGCTGTCCTACCCCAGGCACCACTTCCATTAATTTGGGGTTCCTCCGGTATTATTTCACTCACTTCCGCATCGCCTGGGTTAACACGACAATTTCGCTCAAAACACGTTGAGAAGACAACCCTAATTATTTTCCAAACAGCTACCGGAAAGTAAGTCAATGGGATAATAGGCCCCCGGAGAGGCTACTTTATGCATTAATTTATGCTCTTTTTTTGTGTTGTTCTCCTGGTGGACTCAAACCAATAATCAAGACAATGCATTTAAAATATAGGTTCCCTAGTACATTCATATTATATATACCG